TTATTTCTCACTATAAACTTGCATGCTTCTTTGAATTAAGCAATAAGAATTCCCGAATTCATCAGGTTTTTTATTTACTCTGACTGCTACAAAAATAAGGGTTTGATTAGAGTTGTCCTCCTCACTGTGTACAGACACACACACACGTGCATGTATCTATATATACACATATATATACAGACACACATGCATATGTTTGTCTAGTGTGTGGGTTGCTGTATGACTCCTTCTTGTTTCCTTCTGTTTATCTTTTTTTATTATTTGCCCTGTGTTACCTGTGTATTTATTGTAAGTCACAGCAAATTTTGAAAAATGGATGAATGAGTCTATGAATTGACATAAGCTAATATAATGACCTAAGGTGCCAGTGACTCATCAACTTTGGCATGAATTAGGCTTTTTATTGCCAGATGGACCAGGTTAGTGGCATTCATTTAATATTTGCCAAATATTGAATCATTAAGAGAAAGACAAACCACAAAATTTCTTAAGATTCTTTTTTCTTACCATTCATTTTCCATGACTTGCATTTTTATTTACAAAAATGTCTAAATACCTTTCGATGATACAAGTCAGCTTTTGCATGCTTAAGATTTGTGTGAAAAGTATAAAATGTAGAAATGTCTCAGTCTGTCAACATAAACTTTGTGAATCTGGAAATATCTGAAAAAATTAAGTGATCCTTTAAAGTTTTTAATATGAAAATAAAAGACAAAGGTATATCTCCAGCAGCAGATTTAATAAGCAAGAAGTTAAGATATAAGCAACATAATAGGCTGTAATATTGAAGCATGTAGATCTGTGGGATTAGTGGGTTAGGACGAAATTAGTAACTCTATAATGCGTACAATCTAACATTTTCTCTTTGAAATCTGTAGTTAAATGCATTTGTTCCCAAAAACTATACCACCAGCAATTTCAATCCATTTTCCAGATGTTAAAAAATATCTGCCCAGGAATTTGAGACCAGCCTGGCCAACATGGTAAAACCCTATCTTTACTAAAAATACAAAAAGTAGCCAGGCATGGTGATGCACACCTGTAATGCCAGCTACCTGGGAGGCTGAGGTACAAGAATTGCTTGAACCCGAGAGGTGGATACTGCAGTGAGCCCCAATCACCCCACTGCACTCCAGCCTAGGTAATAGAGTGAGACTGTCTCAAAAAAAACAACAAAAAAATCCCCCAAAATCTGCCCATAGAAAACCAGGTTGTTAATTCCATCCATGTATGCTAACCCAGTAGAAGACAATGTTGCTAGAAGGAACATTTCCAAATAAAAATGACAATTTGTGTAATTAGTTTACTAATGACTATAGTCCTAAAGAAACTTAGGACTAAAAAACTTAGGTTCACGCAACCACAATTTTAAATTTGTACTCTACTAAATTGTAGGCTTGAAATATATGGCAAAAAGGGTGCTTACTGAGGGCCAATGCTGGAGCCAGTTGAATACAGTCAGCCTTTGGTGTAAATAATTGTCTAAATACGTTCTATGGGTCCCCGTACCTTCTTGCAGGACCACATGACTTTATAAAAAAAAGTTGTCACGACAGTAATTTTTATAAACAAAAGACTTTATTTCAAATATATTTTACAGTTTGTGTGTAATTAGGATTGCTTTCCAGATTGTGAAATTTAAGAATAAATTGAACAAGCAATGTACAAAATAGTGGTGTTTACTTAGGCCTACTGAATTCCTACAATTGTTCTTGTAGTTTTTTCTTTCTTTTTAAATTGTATCAGTGGAGACATCAATGATAACACAGATTTTATCCTCTTGATTATATTTTGAATAGCAACAAAGTACCATTCCATTCCATATTTGTTTGCATCTTTAGAAACTGGCAATAAGGGGAGTAGAATCTCATGTATCTGGACCTAATTGGAAATGATAATATATTATTAACAGAGCTCAACCAATTCATTCTTTGTGGTAAAAGCAGTTTGCTAAGCAAATTGGTAGAATAACTAAGATTGTAGGACAGATGTTAGCCTCCTTAAGAAAACATATTATTTTAGAGAGCTTTTAGCAATACTATTGCATACACTTTACATACTAATTACAATGCTTACTTATAAAACAGGTCTTCTCAGCTAGCTATTAGATTGCTTTAGAAACTCAAGAAAATAGATTGGATTTTTTTCATAAACATTCTTTAAATCAGACATTGAACTAATTCATGCTTACCTTCACCTCCATTGTTATAACTGAGGTTTCAATGATGATGTGAAGTTATAGAGATGACTTCAGAACTTTTAAATTTGGTAAGAATGACAGCATAATGATTTTAAAAACACTTACGTGAACTTCAAACACCAGCAACGAAAATTGGCAACATTGAAATTAAAAAAAAAAAGTGTCTTCTTTTCACTATTGCCAGTATTGTTTTTGTTGTTCAAGGCATTGGCAATAGGAAAACAATCTATTATTATATGCTAGTCCTAAATATTACATAAGAAACTAAAAAAAACAAGAAAAGAATGTTTCCAAGTAAACTTTATTTGGTAGAAGAAAGAGGGTGGTGGTTGGGACTTTCCACCTTGGTGAGCCAAGTTTCCTAAACAGGCAAGATTTTCACCATCCACATATACTTAGCACATCCTGGTAATGTTATTTCCTGAAGAAATGTAGGAAAAGATCATGACCAATGCAACCATGGGTGGTCTATTATAAACTCTATACAGAATGTTTACTTCTCAATTCCTACAATGGATATTTTCCTTTCAAAGAACCTCAATTTTGTTCGCAAAATTTGTTTTGCAAATATTCAGTGGGTTGCAGTTTTATGTTTGTCATATTTTTAGTGTTCCACTTGCCTGGAGTCTCTGAAGTCTACTGCTTTGCCATGATGGGCAACACGAGACAGGGAAACAAGGAGTGGCAATGTGGTTCTGACGGACAAAATGCCCTCCAGCCAATAAAGAGAGGGATTGCGAGCGCCTTAAAACCTCAAACTCTTGCCTACTTACTGATCCTGTTTCACGGTTTTCTCAGAGGCCTAAAGAGAAAGTATGGTAGGCCACAGAAGCTGCAGAATTTGACATGCAAAGAAAAGGTAGGCAGAGGAAGAGAAAAATATCATCCCCACCTCTTGGTTGTTTTGGAGCATGAGAGTATGCCAAATTACTTAGAGCTGTTAAATAGCAAAAGCTTTGTTCTATCCCCAGAGATTCTGATTCGCTACATCTGGGGTTGGGCCCAGGAATCTACATTTTTCACCGTTAATTCTGAAACAGGTGGTCTGTGGACCAGATTTTGTAAAATGCTTCTGTTAAGGGATATAATGGGCAGTGTTTGTAGGATAAACCCTTTTATATACTTGTATTCATCTGAACCAAATCTTACCTGACCCATTGTCTTGATACCTATTTAAAAAATCCACCCACCCACCCACCCACCCACCCACCCAACCAACCAACCAACCAACCAACCAAACACCCTCATATGAAACTATTACATATAGAACTATCAAGGTAGAAAAACATTATGGTGGAAGAGACAAGCAAAAATGGCCATTGAAAGGAAAGGAGACTTCTTGTTTTTAACATTCACTAGAAATGTTTAAGGTAGAACTCAGAGGCTAATGTTAAACAATTCAGAAATATCCATTATTCAAAATTAGATACCAGCGAGGTGAAAATTATTTATAGTTCTTAGTAATTTCATGATCTGAAATTTATAAATCTTCTATACAAACAAAAGAATAAAGCACAATTCTAAAGCATAGAAACCCCTCAACCCCAACCCCAACCCAAGGAAAGTGTCCAGCCAGGGAAAACAACAATATTAAAGGTGCTTTAGACTGTTGAGTTTTCAATTGTATTGAGTCAATTACATATAAGAAGAGTATCTTTTGACAGTATAGTGAAGCTAGATCGGTCTGAGTGAGATGCATCATATTAAGTCCTGACTGTCTTTCTGGGAATGTCCACAACTAAAAATTAAACCTTCAGTTCTCAAAGTCAGTAAGTGGGGTTAGTTATATAAAAAACAAGATTAAATTTCCATACTTTTGTTCTTTTCATAACAAAACTAAGAATTACACCCTCATAACAATAATTGTGAAAAGAAACACAGTATAATAGGTAAAGAACACATCTGCTGTTTTTATTGGTGCCTTGCATGGCAGTAATACTGAAAAAGGAGAATGCAAAAAAATAAAATAAAATAAAATAAAATAAAAAAACGAAAAACAGGTTGGTGGCAACCCACATCTTTTTTTTAAGAGCACATAAACTCCTGTTTTATTTTTATTGTGGCATGAATGATAACATAAAACCAAAAACATGAAAATATACAACTTATATTACACTATGTGTTATGAACAAAATATAAATCTATAACTCTATGTTATATTTACATAATTATTTATTTTATTAAATTTCAAGTGAGATGGTAGGTTGCACATACTTTGTTTTAAGCTCCAGGCATTTGATTGTCTCTTTTCTACATTTTTTTCCATTTCTACTTGTAAAATTCAAAATGTTAGAAGGACTAAGAGCTTTAGAGCCAGTGGAGCTATATAAATACTGTTTTAGTGAACCAGTGACAGAAACACTGGGGAGGACAGGAATCGATCAGTAGGAAACTCAGCACATCATCTTCAACCTGGGAAGTTGATAGTTACAGGAAACTTTAAAATTAAATACTTGAAAAGCCTGGCTAAACCAACAGCTATGCCCTACAAGACAAAGAGATACCTGAACCACTTTAAGTGGCCTTCATAGTTTTCCTTGCAGACCCCGTAAGTTTTCTTTTACTATTAATTTGATAGACAAATATCTTATAAACCTGTTTGTAAATATACAGTTGTTTATTACAATTCAATAATTTACCCATTAGAATGAATGAAAGTGTAATTATTTTTTATGGTTTAAATGTGATATAAGAGGTTTCTTCTGGGAACAGTCACAGCTTCTGGATTAAGAAAATATCTGAAGTTGGACCGTAAAATGGTTAATTTTCTCTAAATGAATTAAGGTAAAATTCTACTCCAGAAATCAAAACTATAAAATAGTTTCACCAAAGAAAACTTTTTTATATTTGTTCTTTATAAGAGGATTTGGTTTTAACAATGATGATTATGTTCTTTGGGAGGGATTTTATACATGGTTAACTCTTAACTGCAGATGCCAAATGAACTTTAAAAATGGACTTAACTAATTTAGGTACAAATGTACTGAAGAATAGTTTTATATTTTATCCAATTGTAGTAACTTAATCACTAAGTTATTATTAGTAATCACAAATGAGTAACTTTATTTTCTTCAGTGATGTTCTCTTAAATTCATACAAAAACATGACTATTTTTAGAGAAACTGATTACAACAACTATAAAAACCGGAATTCTGGCAAGATTATTTCTCAGTGTTGGGGTAAGTTTGTGTGTGTGTGTGTGTGTGTGTGTGTGTGTGTGTGTGTGTGTGTGT